ACTTCAGCCCAGTTCTCAATGCTTTCACATCACCACAGAACTGCAGAACTTTCCCCATATTTTGGATGGAACAAGGGGGAGGTAGAACAGATGAGGTACAGACTAGAATTGAATTATCGGCTATGTCCTCTCTCTCTCTCTCTCTCTCTCTCTCTCTCTCTCTCTCTCTTTCTCTCCCTCTCTCTGAGACAGGGCCTCATGTAGCTCAGGATACTCTGGAACTCAATATATAGCCAAGGATGAGCTTGACTTCTGATTCTCCTGCTGGGATTGCAGGCAGGCACTAGGTGCCCAGTTAATGTAGTGCTGGGGATGGAGCCCAGGGCAGGTGCTCCATCAGCTGAACTGCGTCTTTATCTTTCTGCAGACAAGGGCATAGGGAAGCATGAGGGGTGTTGTGGATATCAGATAACAGAAAACCAGGCTTCTCCAGAGAGTGACGAAGTTCCCTACTCTAGACTGTCCATTTATTCCTAGGGAGAAGGTGACATTGATGCAGACCACTGACAGTGGTTAGTGGCAGGAAAATGGCAATACCATCCCCGCCTTCACTTCTGCCAGCCCACCTTGACCCCTGCATACCATTCTGTATGGCGATGTCTCCTAGCTGTTTCAGATTCTTCTCCGTTTCCCAGTCTAGGGGGGCATGTGGAAAGAGGAGCAGACAAGGATTGTTACTTGTCTCCCCACACCTGACAGGTGGGGTTGGGGGGTACAAGTAGAACCAGGTGATGGGGGACCTTAAGATGGAGCAGAAGATGGGGAAAACAAGTTCCAAAGAGGGTGTTGGGCTCCCTAGGCATTGGGGTGGGATCTATGGGGGCTGGGGAGGTCCGTACGCCATAGAAGAAGCAGGGTCAGCATGGCAGCCCACATTGCTGTGCTCAGCAACCCCACCAGCACCAGCTGTGTCCCTCGTCTTGCACAGCAGCAGCGTTTCCGAGGAGGCTCCCAGTATCCTGTTGGTAGTACGGAGAATACTGAAGGGTACAGGGGAGTGTGGGCTCCACCTCTAGCTGTTTCCCCATCATTCAGAGTGTCACTGTCCAAACAGTTCATCTAGAGTCCCATCTGAAGCAGAGGGTCTCAGCGGACCCAAGGCTACTTCCTTTTCAATTTTCCCCATGTGTAAACTGCCCCACCACTGTGTCTATCTGGATGATGCATGTCCATTAGTCCTCCTGAACTTGGTCTATCTCTCCTCTGTGTGTCTCCCAGTCTGCCTCTCTGGTTTTGACTTGCCCAGCCAGAGTCTGTCCACATTCCAGCAAACAATGAGTCTGACTTCAGTCCAGGTCATTTCTGGAGAGACAGACAGAGCCAGGAGCTTCTAAGCCTTCCCTCTTGCAATACTGGGTCCCCCAGCCTCACCTCTAGATGGCAGGACCTTCTTTTTCTAGTCTGTTCTGACCCCCAACACTCTGTGCTTATACCTTGACCCTCAGGTCCTAGCTACTCTGGTGTTTGTCACAATGCTGAGCCCCTTCCCTAGTCATAAGACACTACAACCCAATTTTTGCTTCATATGAAGTCCGGTCCCCAGATACCACACTCTTCAGGCTTCACCCCAATCCCCGAGCTCCCCCAATTCTGTCTTAATATTCCCCACCCAGCCTCCCCCCACTTCCTTACCCTGGTTTTGAGAACTCATTCCGAATTCTGAGTTCCTGTTCAGATGGCCTTCAACTCTGTGTGACCCTGAGCTGTCCAGCGGGGACTGAGTTTTGTTGGGAGGGTGTTGAGTAACAGAAGGGGGAGGCCCTGGGTTTCCCTGTTCCACAGGGCTGTGTGCCACCAGCCTCAGTCAATGCTCACCTCCACACTTCACCCTCCCTCCTGGCTGTTGTTGGAAATTCACCCTCTTGGCTAAAGAGGGACCGAAGAGGCCCCACATCCTCAGGCAGATGAATGCCAGCATCAGCACCTATGTCACTTCTTACCTGCATATTCATGCTCCTCCATGCCAGTCCTGCTTAGATCCTTTAGAGATGGTGTGTGCACTGCCTGCCAAGGTGGTCTTCACTCCACAGTTCGTCACAGCTCTGGAAGTGACTTGGTTTCAATGGACATTAGGATAAGTGTCAAACTCTCTAGAGTGTAGGATGGTATCGGGGACCTGGAGATCCCAGGAGAGCTGGCTGATTTTGTTTAGTCCAGAAGTTAAAAAAATGAATGTCTTGGTGAGCTTGGGAGATATGGCTAATGTAGTCTCCAAAGCCTGGACCACAGTCTAGTGTGTAGAGCATATCACGCAGGAGGCACACAGTAGGTGCTCAATACATGTGCAGCATTGGCTACTGATTTAAGCTAGAAATTTTTTTTTTAATCTGTAAAAAGGGGATGTTTAGCAGCTGTGTATATGTGTGTATGCATTCAGGTACATGTGTGTGCTGGTGTGCATGCATGTGTGTACATGTGGCTCATGCATGTGTATGCTGTAAGCTTGTGCATGTGTGTTAGTGTACACTCCTGTGCACATGTGTGCAGAGGCCACAGGAAGACATCATGGTCTTGCTCACATTCTACTTAATTCCCTTAAGGCAGGTCTCTCACTGAGCCTGGAGCTGGGTTAACAGCAAGCAAGTCCCAGTGACCCTCCTGCCTCCACCTTCTGACCCCAGCACTGGGATTACAGGCATGCTTTCATGATTGTATATGAGCATGCCTGGATCTATCTATCTATCTATCTATCTATCTATCTATCTATCTATCTATCTATCTATCTATC